ACGGAGGTATAGTTCCTGACAGAGCCATGCATTAATTCCCCCCCCCCCCCCCAAAAAAAATTCTGCCTCAGGTACATGATATTTGAAAGTAGGATACGTAACGGTAGGGTAGGGATTTTTTTTGGGGGGGGTCATTTTTTGTGTGTGTACGATCATGTGGAGATGTCTGCGTGTACATGTAGTAAAGGGTAAAAGGTAGTACATGTAATTGATGGTTTTCGGAGTTTTCTCTCATTTTTCCAATATAAAATTAGGGTAGGGGCTGTCAAAATAGGGTAGGTAGGGTAACTGGAAGCAGAAATGTTTTTTTTTTGCCTTGTTAAAAATATGTTTGGAAAAAAATTCTTCCAATCAGACGTGACCTACACTATAGAGTGTTAAACAACATAGTAGGGAGGTTTCGCAAGCGAACGGATACGCTTACACTTACGTTTAGCTATCCGTATCCGTTTTTTACTTACGTGTAGCGAGCGAGATATGCATGTCGTCTGCACGTATGACGTCATACGCCACTCACTATCCGCTAAACGTGCAGACGACACGCATATCTCGCTCGCTACACGTAAGTAGAAAACGGATACGGATAGCTAAGCGTAAGTGTAAGTGTATCCGTTCGTTTGCGAAACCTCCCTAATGTCACCTGTACAACTGTAAATCTGTTTAAGTACATTGTACAATATGCACTGCCAGACTGTATTTTTAAGCATTCACTTCCTTGTTTTGCATTGAATTTAAGTGTTGCATCAATCTTTATAACATAACATAATACAGTATGCATGTATTTTAGTTGATGAACACATAGTGTTTGTGAAAGGTACATGTATGTACAATGTACATGTAGATTTGTTTACAAGGATAATGGATGGACTATGGTGACAAGTCTAATAAGCAATGCGGTCAAAAACCTGATAGACATCAATGCAGTGTGCGCAGTGGAGTACTTAAGGACCAGACTAAAAATTACTTTCAATGGGTTTGCACCTCGTGTCTGTATATCGCGTGTGGCTGTGTGTGTATATTGTGCATGTAATGTGCAGTGCAGTGACGATCGTGAGCTAGCAATTCACAAACACATTGGTGTAATATTGCCGCGATGAGACCCATCAGCAGTGCGAGATTTTGATGAAGAAATTTAAGAGTATGGTCTATGGTTGGAACATGGAGGTAGAATGGTTGGAAGAACTGGTAATAAAGTGTCACTGTGGATGGAAATCAGTTTGGAAGCCTGGGAGTTTTTAAGTAAGTTTTTAAGTAAGATTAGTATAGTAACTTAGCACTGGCGTTAATAACATTTTTTGTGTGAATCATTTCTTTCTCTCTGCAAAAGTGCTAACATGCAAAAGTAATAACATCACACACAGAAAAAGACATTATTGAATCAATCACGTATGGATTATATTATTTAATGACCAACCATGTTTTTCCTAATTTTTCCCCATTTGTTTTCTTTACTGAAGCGACAAAATTTGCAAACATTACAGAAATTACGGTACCTAAAATGTACATGCCCTATATACGGACATAAGTGCATTACATGTATATAATAAATTGGTATGGTAAGTGTATCCGGCAGTGCAGCATGTTTGAATGCCGAACAGATCACCATGTGCGCTTATCAGAACTGTGGATAATTTTTTTTGTAATTTCTGTTTGTAACTTTTCACAAGTAAAATGACAAATGTACTTTCCTGATTTTCTCAGACAATGTGATTTTAAATAATTGGTCATGAAAAAAAAGAAATTGATTACATAATAAAAAAAGAAACAAAAACATTAAAATCAAACCCGCTAATAACGAGGTCACTTTAGATGCGGTGTAATCGCTCTCTTATATTATAGGGTGGCACGGGTGGCTTGTGCGTAAAGCGCTCGCTTCTCACCAAGGTGACCACGGTTCGAATCCTGGCCGCGGATCGCATGTGAGTAGAGTTGTGCGTTGGTTCTCTCCTGTGCCACGTGGGTTTTTCTCCGGGCCCTCCGGTTTTCCTCCCTCCGGAAAAATCAAACACTTTTGATCTCAGGCTGTGCTCCGTGGTCATACACGTATATGGGTCGATGTGGCCGGCAGCCATAGGCGCCTTTCTGTGCCAGCGGCCGGACCACGTTGTAGCCGCGTCCTTCGCGATTCAGCATACCAACTGCGAGTAAGGAGTATTAGCCTCCCAAATTATTATAATTATTATTATTATTAGCAAATAATATAAAATTCACATTTTGGGCAGGGGACACAACAAAATATAATGTTCCGTGTTCCACAACTTTATATTCTCTCCCCCTACGGAAAACACGGAAGATTAAAATCAGAGCTGACCTTAGTTGGGTGCTATCAACTAAAACAGTTGAAAATAATGAGGAAAGTTCACTGAAAAACTGGCATTTTCCATCAAAATGGTTGCTTAACAAAATACTGTTGCTGTCCCTTAGGCCAAAAAAAAAAAGTCTCTGGTTCTGGTATGGAGCTTGCCCAAAAAGTGGTGCGGCGACGCGGCTTCTTTTTTTTTTTTCCCCTGATTTTTTTGCCTCAAATGTCGGCTGATGACTGCAAATGGTGCCCGACTAAACTTAGTGCAAATTATATGGGAGTCCAGAGAGGCCACATAAAGCTTATTCTCGACCATAACCCAATCTAAAAACACGTTAAAATTGTGCAGCAGCAGGATTCCAGTCAGACCAGTGAGTTTGGCGGTTTTCAGACATCATCTTTCATTGGAAAAAAAACTTTTTCATTTTGCCGACACGCATGGCTACGGCGACGCGCGCGCATACCAGAAACCGGAGACTTTTTTTTTTTGGCCTTAGTTCCATATATTTTTTTTTATGTACGATCAACTCTTTATTTGCCAGCGCAATAATCGTATTGGAATAATCAAACTTCTCCACATGCTTTCAATTTTGATGGTCACGTAATCACGGCCGAGATCGCTGGTAAAGGATTTACCACTACATTCGCGTTTGATCGCCAAGTACCAGCCACTTCATGTCATTCATAAAAACATTATTTATTTATTTTATACTACGAAGTACGCATAACGCGTGTGGATCCTGGAGACTTTTGATGTCGATGCGGCTCGACTCTGCCGCTCTTGGACTTTTGGATGTAGCTTCAGACATGTTAGAAGTTGGGACATTGCCAGTGAATATACATGTACCTCACGCTGGCGATACTGATTTTTTTGTAGTCGATTTTTTCCCCCCGCAATATCGGCGATGTGGCGATAAATTGTCAACAAATTAAAAAATTTACATTTAAATAGCGATCTTCACAATACTCCAAATATAAACGCACAGACGGAAAGGTAAGAAGTTTGGCCAACCAGGAACTTGCTGAAACAGATCGTTTTTTTCCCCACAAATAGCGCAAATTATTCTGATTACGTTTTCAATTTTCCCAGCAGTCATCCGCATCGTTAGTCACCGCGAACCTGACATGTGCAAAATGTCCATCATTCAGCGCCTGCATGGCCAGCTCCCGACGTCCGTACACGTGTGCGGACTTTTTCGGATGTCCCGAATTTGGGAGGATATTGCATGAAAAAAAATAATAATGCACTGGAGACTCCCTTCAATCAAAGATGGCGGCGCCCTGTTTCCGAGATAAAAATAAAAAGCTATCTCCACTTCAAATGCAGCTTGGTTCAATTCGAATAGTAAAGTTTATTGGTCACATAATTGTTTCTCCATGCGTTCCCATGACCTGCAGCTGAATTCACCCTTACCGTTTGCCCAGCAGCACTTTGCACGCCCTGGATCTGGAACGGGCTTGCCCGTGATCTCGTAGCGATCCCCGCCCGCCGGTCATGTGGCAATGGTGTTTCCCGCCCGCCTGGCCCGGCCGGCCACAACGCACCGTGCTGCGCCTGTACGTGGCTGTGGCCTGTGTCGTATGAAAATTGGGGAGAACTCTTGTACGATCTAGAAGCGTACACTTACGATGTTTATGAAAGCCCCCGAATACACCTGAGTCATGTGCGTGGCTGTATATGTCAGTGCATGATACGCATACCTGCGATTCCATGCTGGATCAGCACAGAGAGAGTTGAAACACGTGCTTTTCCCCCATGCACTGCATTCATCGATCTAAAACACCCTTTTTAAAAGAATCTGATTGACCATCTAAAGCCGTGCTCGGAACATTTTTTTCATTCATGTTTTGGTATGATTGGTCCATTGATTATTTATCGGTACCGACGTGCAAAGGGAAGGGACTCGCCTGAATCATACGATGCTGAGCCGTCCAAATAAAAATCGAGACAAGAAAATACTCCAAAAGAAAGCGTAATATCAAAGCCATGATTTCTCATCATGGGGAAAAAACCCGTACGATCACACATTACAGAAGCCCCCTGCCCCCTACGCCGTCCTGCTGGGTCCACAAGCACATGTCGTGACACATGCTTTTTCCCACGCACTGAATGGATCGAGCTGATTGGCCATCTAAAACGGCGCTCAAAACATTTTCCATTCATGTTTGGGTATGATTGGTCTGTTCGTTATGAAAGTGGCAGCACTGACAACTTCATATTTCAGCCTCCACAATTGCGCATGCGTAACATGTGATGATTATTAGAATGATCTGCATTATCTTTTGGTGGACCTTGTCATGTCAATGACTTACAAATTCGAATAATACAATACCACAAAAAGTAAGCTTTTCTTTTTTAATAATCTGTTACAATGATATATTTTTTAAAAACAAATGGACTGATAATGAAACCATAACACTTTAGCGTTGGAGATTTGCGGCGTGAAGCATTTGCGTGATTTATGCTGCACCAGTGGCTTATCAAATGGGCACGTGGTGCCTGGTGGTTAGTGGTTACTTGTTTTTTTTCCCCTTGATAATGACGTAATACCCCACTTAACGTAATACTGTGGTTTTAGTGAAGAGTGTTTTTTTGTCACTGGATACCGCGGTATATAGTAAATGCAATACCGTCACAAGCCTAGTAAATTTTATTGCAATAATTAATTTTTGCATTGATTTGTTGTTTTGTAATTAGATGGGAGGTGTTGCAGACAGTGGCCCCAGCCCTGTACTCAAACGTCCTTTCCCAGGGGTTCCCTACCAGCAGCAGAGCCAGCTAGGAAGTAGACAGTATCCAGGCATGTCTCAATATACTGGAAGTCATATGGCAGGATCTAGGACTCACAATGTGCAGAGTCAAGGGGGCATGGCTAATATGACTTCAAACAGTACACCATTCCCTCAACAGGTAGGCTTAGAGAGGAAGTTATTCCGGATTTAAAATCTTGGCCATCAACTAATTTAATTAGTACATTACATGCATAAAATAAATACAAAATTTTGAGAAAAAACCCATTTGCTCTAAGTGCCTAAGCTGCCTGAAATCTGTAAAGCGCGATTTCCAATCTGTGTGTGTATATTTACATGATTATGTCCCTCTGAGGAACAGTGATTGTATTACACTCGCTGCATGAATCCATGTTCTTTGGTGTTAAAATGTCTTGAGAGAGTGCTTTGACATTCTTTATTTGAGACACATCTACTTGGAAATAGAAGTTGTTCTATTTCTTGATATAAATCGTTTTGAGAAAACTTTTGTGGCTGGATGTTGTATTTATTCCAAGGTTTGAAATGGGAAGCATCATTTTTCCATACAAGTCTTTACTGTGGCTGGGCCAAATGTCTAGTAATAAGACACCACCTCTGGTGACATACATGTACATGTGCAACTAGCAAACCGCATAGAACTGAATGTATGTAACTGTTACCACACGGTCCATGTTTAGCAAGCAAGGCATCAATATCTCAAACACATAAATTGACAGCGACAACAGTTTTCTTCTTGGGTCATTCCATGTCAAATCACCCAAAAAAAATGAAAGTCGAAATGTGAGGTTTTAGCGCCATCAAACCAACGGTTTTCGTGATCCCGCCAGCCATTTTTGGAAATTTTGGTCAAAATGGGCGTGGCCACCAGTTTTCATCTTGGTTTCTTTGGAAAGGTTATATCATAAGAAATCCAAATTTACCATTATTTTCATGTCGGAGCAATTTGAAGTATGATGACCTTTTAACCTTTACTTTGACCTTGTGGATCACATGAAATTGAGATGAACTTGGATGGAAATTATACCCTAACATGTTTTCTACAAAATATAAAAAAACTGGAGGTGAAATATTTTTTTGTTTGGTTTCTAGCTCATCTCAAAGTTGGCATACTTATTACAAAATGTGATATCCTATGCAATGTACTAGTGGATTAAAAGCAGGGACTATTTTGTCCCTGAAATGTTTACATGTGATATTGCTGCGCACCCGGCTTGTTTCATGCCGTGACGCTGCGGAATCTTGCGCCGATATCGCTAGCATACAAATCGCCTGGCTCTGCATTTTTAAAGGCATGAAAAAATGCAGAACACAGTAAGGCTGCTCGATATCCATTTATTTTTTAAATTGGAATATCGTGAAAAAAATCTGATATCGCGATATTATCGTGATGACGTCATCTTTCCATTCATGGAACAATGGAATAACAAAAAAACATGACTGAAGTCACCATCCACTGCCGTGAAAATAACCCGATGGTCCAAATATGTCCGGAACAAAATCGTCAATTTTATTTGACTACTAGTCTCATTTACTTTGCCAATTAAGTAGAAAACAAATTCCACATTCAAATATCGAAAAAATTAACTTGAAATGTTAGATAATAATGTGAAAATAGAAATATCTCACGAGGAAAGAACGAAGCAATAGCACGCAATGCACGCGGCATTGATGCCACATGCACACATGGTAAGACTGTGTACAGCCCACACCATTTGCGGTCAAGGGTGTGCTTCCTTGAAAACAATGTACCAGTATTTCCACCTTTTCAAAATAACAAATGACAGGTTTTTTTTATGGAGTCCAAATATTTCCTTGTTCAGAAAAAGTTCTTCATCGTTACAAACTCACAAAACATTTTTTTTTGTAAAGAATTTATTCGAAGAACGATGTTAACTCCAAGCAGCCCTTTACAAAATTAATGGATCCGTCCAATTTCAAGTAATGAATTTTTTGAACCAAAGTCACGATTGAACAGTTGGTTTTCGAAATTTTTTGGTGCTGAAAATAACTGATTTCATAAGTTTGGCACAGTTTTGGCACTAAGCAAGTGTAAGTGCCTGGGAACAACCACGGAAGAGACGGAACGAGTCAGGAAAATACGTGCAGAAAAATTTGATCTAGTTCGCCGGACTTTAATGGTTACAAAAGCGGTACTACAAAAGAATATCGCGATATTTTTCGGCATATCGAATTCCATGATGTGCCGATTTTTTTTAAGAGATGGATACGATTTCCGATATGAAAATTAAATCGAAATATCGTGAAATATTGATATCGATCAGGCTTAGAACACAGACTCCATGCACATTTCCCAGCATATAGTTTGGCCTTTTTTATGAATGAGCGTGTCGCTATAGCGCCCTCTATCTACTCTGGACTATTAGCCTGATTCCGTCATTTGTTCACATGCATGAATGCGTCGGTATACAGACACATGCATGGCAAGCATAATGGCATACATGTACTATTTAGGCCTAATCAGAAGAACACTGACCATTGAATGCACTGGAAAGTACTGGAATCCATCAAAATGCACACCCCTGTTTTGGAGGATTTCGGCGGATTCACGATACCTCCATGTTGAAAATGTTGGGGGATTTTGATGAATTCAGGACAGTAAGCCTAGCGGTACTGCAGAATTTTGATGGATTCAGGATACCTCCATATTGAGCAGTTGAGGGACACTAGTGGATTCTGATGGACTCAGTGGTGGATTCTGATGGACTCACTAGTGGATTCTGATGAACTCAGGACACCAACATTTGTTGGCATGACAAAATAGGTGGATTTTGGTGGATTTAGGATACTTTCTAGTAAAAGTGCTCAAGGGGTTAGGGTTAAAATTTCAATTCAAGTGGTCATAAACTGCACAAAATGCACCAGAGAGCATCTAGAATTCCAACTTTTCCCGGACACATGCCGTATTGGCTTTGTGCTTCCCATTCCAATTTGACTGGCATGCCTGGTGAAGGGATATAAAGTATAAAAGTAACTGTGTCACACCATGGTCACACAGAAAGTCAATGCACAAAAAACAGCACTGTGGCGAGCAATGAAACGTGAACGAATCTACCTCCTGAACTTAACTATAGAAAATAATTGTGCAGGGATTTGAAGTGTATATTCCACAGAAGATCACCTTAACCCTCCTGCTATTTAAACAGTCATAGACAAACAGTCACAGACATCAAACTTTCCATCCACTTCCCCTGCTATACTTTTAGCACAGGCTAGTCAACAGCAGTCAGATCATATGTTAAGCAAGCACTGTGACCAGTCAAACTCAGTCAACAGACCATGAACAGACAAAGCAGGCAAGTTGTTGGCACAGCTGGCTTATCAATTACCAACAGTCAAAGCAAAGCTGTATCAAGTTACATAAACAGTCATGTGCAGCCAGTCAATGCTGCTTTATGTGGGCTGGGAATCTTAACTGTTGAAAACAGGCACTTGATTAATTTTGACTGAAAGGACAACTTGGCACAGAATGTATGTTTGCATAGGAGGTTTAATGGAATTAGACGTGTGGGTGCTAACGCAATGGGCAAAAGTAGTTTTGCAAATCTTGAAGGGTTGTGAAGTGCAGAAGACTAGGATGGTTAATATTGGTCCCCTTTCTAAAACCTCTTTGCTTTTGGATGAGTAGGAGAAACATTTGTCTCAAAAAGGTCTTTTTAATAAAATAAAGAAACAAACCAGTGTCATGTCATCAATTTGAGTGGGGTTGACTCAATCAGGGTTCTCCACAGGACTTTTCAAAACTGGGCCGAGAGTGGGGGTTTTTCAGGTGCAGTTAGGCCAAAAAAATATATATTTTGTGGTTCCGAATATTCGCCTTTTCAAAATAGGGTTGGTAGATTGGAAAATTTGTTTATTAGCTAATTTTTTGGGTGCTGATTAAATGGAGTATTAGGCCCCCCCCAAAAATAAGTCGGTCTCTGGTCAGCGCGCGCGTCGATTTTAATCATGCGCGTCAATCTTTTTTTTTCTCCAAAATGTTCCGCGGTAGCTCCAACAGCGCCCTCTATTTCCGCACCTGCTCAATTTTTTTTACCAAAGGGCACCAAGGAATAGGAAATTGCACCAAGGCAAATGATCGAAAGCACCAAGGCAAATTATGGAGGACACCAATGTACACGAGGACACCAAAAAAGCAAAATAGTACCCCACCTTGTCTGTACAATCCAAGCTTGAAGAAAAAAAAAAAAAAGCCGCATGGCCGCACACATTCTGGAATTTGTATCCTTGTGGAGACATTTCTTTGTTCTCGTGTAGTAAAGTTTTCGAGTTTGAAATTGCAGTTTCAAAATGCTCTTATTTTAACCAGAATTAATTTCCTGGGCTGAAATTTGGACTAAATATCCCTTTTCTAAAACTCTTCCATTTGCGACAGATCAACCTACCTTGGAAATTCCTAGTTTTTGAGTAAAATCCATATATCTATTTCGTGAAATTCTTGTGGAGACGTATACATCTATAGAAATGTTCTTGTGGAGACGTGTACAATCTTTTGTTCCCTATTGTGTGCATGTCTCCGTAAGGTAGTAAATTCCAGCACGTCAATTCCGAAACTTTGGTCTGACCAGAGACCGAATATTTTTTTTTTTGGCCTTAACGCCATATTTTCAACCCGAATTATTTTTGTGCCATGAAATCTATCAAAACTGGCTCCTGAAAAATGATAAAAGTTTGCCCTAGTTAAAGAGGAAAACATCTAGGGTCAGCGGTACTTCAAAATAATACAGAATTTAAGTTGTGCAAACCAGTTTGCACAACATTATTTTGTCATGAAGGGAAACTGGCCAGCATGGTCTGTATCACGCGGTATCAGTGTGCATGGACTGCCATGTGTACCAGCAGTGGAAACTTCGGAAAACATGCTATGCTGTAGGCCTTCAAGTACGAGCAGTAAGACCTTGAAATAAATACATGAAAACAGAACATACATGTACACAGGAAAGAGAGCCCAAATTAGAAGAGGCAGCTTCTTAACATTTATTGTGTGACTGAAACTCCCTTATTTAGTTTTCAATGTTGTAGATTGTTTCAGATATACATGTTGTATAATCGTCAAAATTAGTCAATGTTTGCCACATTAGAGTGACTGATCTGTGTGGTTGGTTTCCATTAACCCTAACTTTCTACTTATTTTTACAATGTATTGAGTAGAGGACCAAATCCATCAAAATCCATCACTGGTGCTGGTGGATTTTGATGGACTTGGTACACATGGCTTACCTGCCAAAATTCCCCAAAATGGGGGATGGATTTTGATGGAGTTGGGAAGGTTAGGGTTAATGACTAAATCTCAGAGTCACCCCATGGGAAAATTTGAAAATATTCAGTGATCTGTAAATATTTTCAAGATTTCATTTTTCATAGTGTGCTTCATTTATCACGATCAATTCCCACTCTTTTCAATTTTCATACTATTAGTTTGTATCAAACCTTAATTTTTTTAAATTTTTTTTGTGGAAACACAAACTCCATTTATTTGTGTACAGGAGTGGGGATGATGGTTAGAGGCTCCTGTGCCTGTGATTAAATGACCAGAGTACAATACTAGACTTTTCCAGTGAGAATAAGTTTACGGTTGCACCATGTGGCAAAAAAATCTTTGGTTTGTGTGTGAGTTTGTTTGGATCTGAAACGAACCGAGGGAACTGAATGTTTCAGATAGTATGCCATCAGTAGACTGCTCTTTGGTAGTCTCCTGACGACCGGCGAGGCATACCGGTACTTTGCGAAACGTTGAGTGTCCCCAGGTTCTTTCTGGAACCACACAAACTTACAAAGAGAAATTTCTCATCACATGGTGCAACCGCAAACTTATTCTTATTGTTTGCTTCACCTTGCAAACCTTCCATTCTTATTCTAACATTTCAAACTTTTCTAAGAAAATAATCAGTGTGGCGGTAGTTTAGTTAAGGACTCTGCCTCTACCGGTATAAAAGACCAAAAATTGCTGTAATGTTTTATTGGACCATAATGCATCTTGAATGTACAAAATGCGTTGATGCACAGGGTACCAACTGGATAATCAGGCAAGAAAGTTGCATCTTGCTCCAACATATCACTATGATGTAAATTAAGGGCTGGATATCTCAGTTAGTTGAGTACTGGAACAGCATCCGGAGGTTGCAGGCTCAAACTTAACACCAATTTCTTGTTCAACTTCTAAAATTATTATAATGCACCTAGTCAATTTCCCTATGTTGTTCAGGCCATTTTATAAAATTACTTGGATTACGGAATTGCCGCCGAAAAAAAATTCAGAAATAAAAAAAAAAATAAAAAAAAATAGTCGCCCAACAATTTCACTTTTGATGACACGCCCCCCCCCCCAAAGGAACAAACAAACAAACAAATTTTGCCTTGCAAGTAGAAATCACAAGCTTTTGATTCACTTTTATACTGGAGTCTACCCCCCAAAAAAGAGAGCTCAATATAGTTGTTACCTTTAATTTTTAAAGTTTGATAACTTTACCCGAGCAAATTTTGATAAGTTTTGTGCAGTAAAACTGAATGACGACATTTTGTTTGAGCACTTTCGTGTCCGAATACCGTGTCCGAATACTGGGTGCACCATTATGGGCGTTGAAGGGCGTCCCCACATTTGCGGATTTAAAAAAAAATTATTTAATTTTTTTATTTCCCACTTGCCGCCCTTCCCGGGACCAAAACAAATCAGTAAACCACGTATTTAAAAAAAAAAGGCTTTATTTGAAAAACAAAAGCAAATATCAATTGCAAGAGTCTTTTTGAATGATTAAAATCACTCAAGAACTAAACTGATGGAGGTTTCCTAAACTACCCTATCGCCAGAACACTATACTTCCAGTGATTAAATAAAGACAAGCTCTTTTTCAAAATGCAGCCTAAGATAATCAAAGACTAATTAGTGTGACTGTTCCTTGAATATGAACAGATGCCCTCACAATTTGGTCAGCAAGGCCAGGGCATGGAGTACAATCAGCAACAATTATGGCAGCAGTCATGGCAGCAACAAGCACCACCATCATGGCACCAACATCAACAAGACATGCAGTCAAACCAACAGATGTGGACTAACTCTCCACCATCATCTCAGGTATAGCAGCAATGCTTACCAGATAATGTACATGAAAACTGCTACACTCACTAACACTCTTAGTCTTAAATGTGTATCACACGTTTAAATACGTAACATCAGTCTGCTGATAGGATCTGAAGCTGGACTTTCTTGGGTTAAAAATTTATTCTTTTTCAAAGTTTTTCAGTGTGCCTGCATTAGACATTATTTAGTGTTGGACACTTTGAGTTATTGCCATTGTGTACATGTACATGTAGACCACTTTGCATTTTGAATTAAGATGTACAGTTTCCTCTCTGAAATTTATAGTGAAATGCCACATACTACACAGTAGAACATCACTGCAACAAACATGGGGTCTACAAAAGATTATTTGTTATACATGTACATGTAGCTGCTATTCATTATAGCAATTCCAATATATCCATATTTGAGCAAAGTTGAAATGCAAGCTTACACTAAGTGCAAGCTGACTACTAATTCCTATTGGTCGAGAACCCATCACGTGGCCAGTCTTAAACAGTTGATAAAACACTGGCTGGCTGTTCTTAAAGGGAATATACAACATTTGCAAACATCAAAAACCAAAACTACCAAATTATTATGAAATACCTACTGGACTGTTAGTGAATGACAGTCTAAAGCATCCTGTAAAATCATGGCACCTGGTGTGCTGTCATTTTCAAAAAATGTGGTATGTTTGTTTCAATTTCCAACACTGGTCGGCCGACCAACCTTTGAAAAAAACTGGGTTTTTTTCAGATAATGCCCCCAATTTACCATATTTAGTTACCAATGTTTAGTCTGAAATCAGTTACAATTGATTACACATCTATGAACAGGTACAAGCCTTCTAGACAGGTTCCCCGACGTCTATTAATTGCTCCATTTCAATTTAAGTGGGGTCATGGAACCAGACCACAGGAACATGATTTTTTTTCTTGGTTTTTCCAGCATCTACGAACACAAAACTTCAAACAAGTCGGTGTAACAATATGTGCTATAACATATTGTTTCCCCAAATCCATCCATTTCTGAAAATTACAGCAAAAGCAAATGTTGTATATTCCCTTTAAACACTTTTCCAGTGTCCTATGAAATTTGGACTCCTATGTAATCTGGTCCCTTTCACCCTTTTATTGGTTGAACGTTCACAATCCTCACTTACGCATGCGCAGTACTACCAACGAGTCAGTATTTCATACATGTAGTCCTAAATTCACACTACACACCAGCACAGCGACACTCTGCACAACGTCTCGCAGTGTGCACATAGTTAGAGGGGTGTTTAAAAAACATGAAGTAAAATTGGTGAACAAAATCATTGGAAATGTATATTTTTTTGCTGGTAATAAACAAGTCCCTTATCTATGGAGCGGGTGGGGGCCTGGTCGCCAATAATATCCCTCGCCTTTAGCTCGGGCTATTATCAGCGTCCATTCCCCCAGCCAGTCAAACACAGACTTGTTTAAAACCGGCCAAGAACTCATTTATTATTTAAAGCAAGGGAAGCGTTGACAATTTGGTAGAATGCATTAGTTAAGCACATACTCGGCTCCATTTCATAGTTTGTACAAATTAATATGATCCAAATACATGTATACCCTAAAGTATTGTCAGCTTTGCTCTTGGTCCATGCAGTATATTGAAAGGAAAAATAAATCAGGTCAATTGAGAATAATTCTTTATGAATGTACATGGACTTATAAAAGTTTATCAAAACATGTCTTTATAGGAATAGAAATGCAAGAATTTTGCAAGTTTCATAATTGCAAAAACTAAGTTTAGTGTAAGAAACTGTCATTGTTCATGTATTTGTTCATGTTTAAGAAAGTGCTTGTGCCTCATTTGCTTGGAATTCACTGTCAGTGGAAAGTCAATTTAATCAGATGAAAGAAATGTTTTACATGTAATCAAGTGTAGTTTCACATTGAAAATTTGCAAGTTGAGTTTATCAAGGGCTGTCATCACTTAAGTGCTTGGTATGAATGAGCATAATACTGCATGATACATTGCCTGCATGCATTACTGTGGAGAATTCCCTGCATGCATTACTGTAGAGAATTTCCTCAAAAGCCACACCCCTCCCCCCAAATATACTTAAAACGGTATTTACCCCAACCCTTCCAAATATAAAAAAATCAAACACTGGTACAAATGGTACTTTTAATTCCATGTAAAATGGTGATTGCAGTCCCAATTCAGGGCACTTGCAAAGAATGCACTGTTTACATGTTAGATGAAAACTACCCGGTATGTTGGATGTCATGGTGTTTAATTACGGAGGCAACAACACAACACGTTCTCTCAATATTTCATTATGAACTTCATCTGTTGTATGTTACAATGTATGTGACATTTTGATGTGAATGTTATGATTAATTGCTGATGTCAATACACCCTGATGATTAGTGTAGGGTGCTCAAACTGATTTTCATTTGTGCTTTTCCTATAAGTATAATGGTTCTTAGCTTTAAAATGTTACCCACAAAGATTAACTACCAGTAACTTGAACATAAAAACTTGAGGTTTGTATTTTATTGGTAAAATTGTGTATTCGAAAATGTAAAAATCATTTAGTGCTGCAACTGATCCTCAAAGTTCAGTTCGGTTCGGTTCGGTTGCGGTTCGATATTTTTGTCTCCGAACTTCGGTTCGGTTCGGCTTCAGAAGTGCATACGTAATGTACATGTCCATATGACATGTATTGGGCTACAATGAACAAACACGTGCGTACCCGGCACGTCTGACAGAAATAAGCACAGCAATTTCCACATGCTATTCAACACAAGTTGAAGGCTGAATCTTATTTTTGGTGTGTAAACAGAATTCCATTATAATTTGACTTGATGACGTTGAAAAATGTTACCTACATGTATATCGCAGCCCTATCCGGCCCGGTTCCTGGACAAAACTGGGGCCCTACGCTACACGATCGCCATAAAAATTGTATTTTCCCACATGTGTTTTCCTGACGAGTTCCGTCCCGTCCGAGCATGCCCTGATGAGCACTAAAAACTTGTCTCGTGGCAATAATTGCTGATTAGTTTTGTTCTAAGAACAAACAGGTCCTTTAATACTGTGCCCAACTTATGAAATCATGATTAATTTTAGCAAAAAGCTGACAAGTAGCTACCATAAAAAATAATAACTTTTCGATTCGCGACTCCATGATGAATTCTCATTCAGCTGTGGAAAACTGTGGACGGATCCATTTTGTAAAGGGGTGTTTCACCCTCTTTTGGGCGATTACATCGTTTTTCGTATTCATTCTTTACGGGAAAAAAAATGTATTGCGAAAATTACGAACTTATTCTGAACATGGGAAAGGTTTCAGACTCCATAAAAATTATTTTTTTATTTTGATACGGTGAAAAAAATGAAAATGCTGGTGAATTCTGCCGAGGAAAGCACACCCTTCACCGCAATTGGTTTGGTCCAAACGTACTACGTCACGCACGCTGGAACACGGCGCAGCATTTCGCAGGGCATGATACTGACCACGCACGCTGGATATGAATGCAAAGAGCATCGCTTTTCATTGAGAAAAACGCAAGGCGCGTACGATTTTTTTCAAAGTGTATCGGCCCGATATCTGATTTGTTTGCCAGGCCAGAACACTGCAAATAATGAAAATGAATGCAGTGACTTTTCAACACAGTTAATTCAATCACCCGTGCGTTTTATTTTTGCCCTTTCATTGCAAGCATTAGCATTCTTAGTGCTATCAACAAATACTTGCTGAACTTTCCGAACCGACATTTGGGTTCGGTTCGGTTCGGGTTCGGTTCGGAAGGCCAAGTTCGGCTATTTTTAGCTCTGTTCGGCGGTTCAGCTGCAGCACTAAAATCATTTTAAACAATTTTCTTGTTAAATAAAAGAGTTGTTGTTTTTCATTTGACTAAATGTAACAACGTAATTTATTGACGTTGTTTAGTGTACTTGAGAATGGTATTTCACCTACCGGTAATTGCTTTTCTTTGAAGGTTATGAAGACATCAGGTGACAAAAAGATGGGGATAAGTGTCTGAATAAAATCTTGTTAAAAGGAATAATTGTATTACATGTATAAGGCCCAAAAAAAAAAAGTCTCCGGTTTCTGGTATGCGCGCGCGTCGCTGTAGCCATGCGCGTCGGCAAAATGAAAAGTTTTTTTTTCAATGAAAGATGATGTCTCAAAACCGCCAAACTCACTGGTTTGACTGGAATCCTGCTGCTGCACAATTTTAACATGTTTTTAGATGGAGTTATGGTCGAAAATAAGCTTTATGTGGCCTCTCTGGACTCCCAATCCCATATAGGCCTATTTGTACTAAGTTTAGTCGGGCACCATTTGCAGTCATCACACGGCATTTGAAGCAAAAAAGTCAGGTAAAAAAAAAAAAAAAGCCGCGTCGCCGCACCACTTTTTGGGCAAGCTCCATACCAGAAACAGGAGACTTTTTTTTTTTTGGCCTAATGAAATCATGTTTAATAATGATTTTACAGGACTAACTGCCCATTGCTGCTAATTTTTAATTTTCAATTTTATAACAATGTGATGGTTGTTGGATCTACATGAAAAAAAGTGTTGTCGTTAATCTTTGTTCAAGGACACCTTGCTATTGTTTGACAGCTTGGTCCATGACAGCTGACATTACCAGAATACCTTTATACATACCTTTGACTATTTACAAACATTCCTTTAAAATAACTCTTGCATTTTTTTGGGTACAATACACTTGATCATTTGATCTACTGGTACCTCGATACCAAATACACTTTGTGGATCTTCAGCCTACATTTTGTATGTTTGTCAAAGTGACACTTGAAGAACATGATCTGTTAATGACTGAGGAAAAAAAAAGAAACAAATAAGACTGGAGGCTCGTTATTTATTAACCCACCCCCCCCCCCCAAAAAAAAAACTCCCAAAAAACCCACACAATTGCATTTCACAGATGTATTTTAACTGATCTTAATGATAATATTATAAAATAATAAAAACAATGTGGTGCTAACATGTACGTGGCACATTTATACCAATGTCTTAAAACGCTTCATATGTTACACAGAGTTATACTTGACAAAATGTGGCTGGTCAGAGACCTGCACCAGTACATGTGAATTGTTTTACTTAGACAATTGAATGGAAAGGAGCTTGAGGCTAGTATTAGTATTGGACTTGAATTTGATGAGCTGGGAATTTTGGGGCATACATGTAGCTCAAAGGACAAACTTTTAAGGCAGACATTTACATGTTCTTTTTAGAACATTTCCTCCCAAGTTGAGGAAATTAAGAGTTACTGACTTATTAATAATCAGGCCAGTTAAATATAGAAGTAGCTATTTTATTTGCTGTACATGTACTGTACATGTACATACATGTACTTGTGTACGTGTACCTGTTTGTGCATGCATCAGTTCTGTCAACATTACATTATGGCAATGAAATTTCAAAGTAGTAGCTGGCCATACACATTGGGCATAAGCATACCATATGATTGCAACAGACGAGAGCAAGCACTACATTCACTTCAAATTCTTGTCATCTAAAAGAGTTCTTTTTGTGTTTGTTTTATTTATGAAGAATATTTCTTGTCAAAGATAATCATGAAGATGATTTGTTGTCATTATTGTAGCATCAACCCCCATCATCATCAGGTTACCAGCAGACTCAACAGCCCACATCAACCTACAGTAGAGGGGGACAACAGACCACATCCAATAACAACAAATCTGGAACCACCACCGATGAAGTGAGTGTTGCTAACAGACCACCAAGTCTGCCTGTAAGTTTGTCATCTTAATCAACCTACCATTTGTCATTTTTGCATGATATCTAATTTGTTTGCTTTTAAGTTTGTAGGCCTTTTTGCTAGTCCTGATGCATCCCCACCCCTTCAAAATCTAACTAAAAATCCTCTAACTGCCTGCATGCAAAAATTGGAAACAGCCTCTATCCAAAATCATCCATTATTTATTGAATTTCTTCAGTGGAGGGGTGACCACTGCCTCAATCCTTCAAAATCTTCCATCCATCACTGATATAGTAGGCTTTATTCATGAGTCTGCCATATTAAATTGAAAGCAAGGTAAAATGTTTATTTTTGGAACTTGCGAGTAGAAATAAAAGCAATTAAATAATGTTAATTACAAATTGATACCGTTCTGCTCTGATGCATAATTTTAAATTTGTGGTTAAACATACCCTAATGTTTTAAGCCACATTCATAAATACCTAAGACAGTTTACCCATTCCTATTGGTCGAGAGCCCGTCATGTGGCCGGTTTTAAACTGTTGATAAACACTTTTCTAGTGTCGCATGAAATTTTGACTCCTATGAAATCTGGTGCCAGCACCGTTTTGTTGGTTGAACGTTCACAATCCTCACGTACATGAAGGTATGCGTAATACTACCATGAAGTCAGTATTTCATAGTCCTAAATTCACACTACATTTAGAGTCTGGCGCCGCCACTGATTTTACCTCTAAAAATGTATGTACAATGTAGAACAAATTTTATGGGTATTTTGCAGGGTGCCTTTAGGCAAATGAAAACATATACATTGTACCATGGACCATATGTTGCTTCAATCCCGGAGCCTCGTGATTTGTGACCCACAGACCATCTGCGGACTATTTCATGGATTTTTTATTTTCCCCAATCTCGCCCCTAAATGGTTCAAATGAAGGATATCCACTGCCTCCATCCTTCACAATTCTCTAACAGCCCTGCCTCTCAAAATGCATTCATCCTCAATCCTCCAAAAGCCTCCTCTTCTTCAAACACCATTGATCCTCAATCCTTCAAAATCATCCGATACTGAATATGTCCATGTGCCCTCAATCCTCCACTATCCAAAATTGCCCGGAGGACTTTGAAGGATTGAGAAGGGTTATGGTCAATACATGTATGAAGTTCTATAAGTGAAGTGTGTGTTATGGCCTCACAGTTTCAAAAAATGGTAATGTAGAATAGGATAGGATAAAAACAATTAGTAGGAAGAATGCCTTTTTGGGATCTGTGCGCAAGTATCCCCTCATATCATTAGTTACAAAGGGGGGTATGGGGAGTCCTCTGGGAGGGAAATGAACCTCAATGAAAAAACGTCAACAAATCCTAATGCCACGAAGGAAACATGTATACATCATTTTGAAGCTTAGTTTGTAATTTTATTGAAATATACATGTAGTTTATTTCTAACAGTGTTCAACATTTCAGCTGTTACATGTACTTTTAACTGAAAAATGTACCCAAAAATAAAATCAATTTGTCAGAGTACGTGCAACACTATGGTGTTTCGAGCCGATTTCTACCACAGCAAAAAATGTTGGATGAATAATCTCTTTTGAAATCATTGTAGTAGCTAACTGATACATTTCTTCAGACTATAAGTTTTATTTTGCACACTGATGAATTATCCAATATGAACATCCCACACTGTCAAACTGCCTACTTAAAGTCTTTCGGATAACGAAAGCCAATGTTAGAAAACATGGGCTGAATTGATGTTCATTTAGCAGATATGCAGTTTCATTTTATTCCTAATATCATTTTCTTAAATTATAGATCATACTAATGTGGCCTATTTAAGTAGCATTGGGTGACTAAATGAAACAATTTATTTGAGCAATTTCAAGTAAAATGTCAACCTTTTTAATAGAAAAAAAAGGTGAGTACATTGTTTTGAGAAACAAGTGCATTGTCAAGGCGAGGCGTACACTGCGCCCTCAATGGCAAGTCTTATGAAATTAATGATTTATCAAGCGTCCTTCGTGCTGTTGAAACTTTACAGTGATCACACATGTGCAATTTGCTCTGAGCCACCATCAGTTTTAAGCCACAGTAAAAGAGAAAGGAGCGCAGGAGCTGTGGAGGTCATTGACTCTAGGGAGGTAAACATAGCCACAGACAACGTGGAGCCTTGTGTGCTCTAAGAAGTCTGCCTAGCTCATGGCAATTCTCTTGTCCTACAGTGAACTCACTCATGAATGAATTAGAGCTGCATGCCCTGTATTAAGCAGTACACACATGCTCAATATCACAAAAGTGTTGGTCATTCCCATCCATTTTACTGCAAGAATTTTATCTGGCTAGTGGTGAGGCCAAACTTGTACCTTGTGATGCTAGCTCGTCCATTATTATCATGTCGGTCAAGTCTGGGGCTGGTATTATTGGGTCGGTCTGCTCCTGGGCTACTACTATCGGGCTGGAACGGTCCAGGGAGAGAACATGTACCAGTATTATCGGGTTGGGACTAAATCAGGGCCAAAATTTTCATTGATGTTAGGGCCTGGTTGAGTCAGGACAGGAGGTTTTTTTCAGGTTCAGAGCAAAACAAACCCAAACAAAACCAAACAAACAGACAAACAACCCAACTAACAAACATACAAATAACCCCAAAACCCACCCAACAAAAACAACAAAACAAATCCCCCCCCCCCCCCCGAAAAAAGAAACACCACAAAGAACCAAACTTCAGGCAGTCTCCATAAAACATGCATAAAGTAATAGAGCATTGATTGTGGGATTGTAGGAATTATCTTCCCCCTCTGAAATCAAACTCTGTCAAATGGATCTGGTAGCCTAGTGTAGAAAGATTTTATTTGTTCATTTTTATTCTGTTGTCTATGAAATACATGAAGTTTATCATAACTTTTCACTGTGATTTGTGGCTTTGTAGTGTGAACGAAGTTGGGCACCTGATCACTGTACGATCACGAGGCCTCCTTTAGTGCAGAAACCATTGTGCACACTATAGTACGAAGCAACTGCCTCGAGATGGATTATCTGAACAATAGCTAGCACAATGCTTACACCATTTAAGGAGGCCTCCCTGATAGAAATGATAGGGGAAAAAAATATAGTTCTGCTTCCGGTTTCCCTACCTACTACCCTATTCTGACAGCACCTACCCTAATTTTTTAATGGGAAAAATGAGGGGAAAAAAACACCCAAAACCATCAATTTATCCCTTGACTACACACAGACGCCTCCATATGATCGTACACAAAAAAATGGCCAAATTGTTTTTTTTACCTACCTACATGTACCTTCCGGTACCCTATTTTCGAATGCCAAGTAATCGGAAGCAGAAGTATTTTTTTCCCTAGTTTGCCAGGATTGGTCTATAGTTTCCAGGGAATGAGAATTCTGAAAGGCATGGCTTAATCTCCATGTTGTTTTAAGTCTTTTAATGAATACCTATTGTTGAAAAATATAAATCATGACTGACACGATGTACAGGATTGTCATCTCTTGTAATCCTGCTGAAATTTGTAGAACATGTGCGTGTACACGCACATGTATACTGTACAAGCGATACAAATAAAACATTGGCAATGACAACTTTAATCATATCATTTTATGATTTACTTTGTATAATGGTAGAAATTTCTGTTTTAACGAACATGTACATTTGTAATAACAGCCAATGCCGTGGACAGCAGCAACTGCTTATAAATAAACAATAGTTTCTCGGAATTTGCCTGAGTTGATACAACTACAAGTTTTTTAGAAATACAGTGTGTGTAGTTGGTATTGTTGACGAGATCCCATAAGGTCACACAACTGACCTCTGCATGTGGTGAAAACTGTAGGCTTACACTAAGCATGCATTGAGCTACACAAGCTGTGCCCTTTGAGCCCAGTATGCTGATAAAACCTAACTCAACCTTCACACAATGGCACAGTGAGAGATACAGTCAGGGATCATATCCACATTGTATGCCTAAGTGTTGTAGTTGTGAGTATCATGGAGGAATGTGTTCTTATTCCTCCATGTGAGTATGAAGCATTGTGAGCACAATTTAAAAAGTATTATCGAATTATTTATGTGGACATGTATGTTCGATAGACTATTTTTCACAGTGTCTGCATGATGAAAGATTGACACAAAAGAAAATTTGAATTGTTCGAAATTTAAATAACTTTTTTTGTTTCATTCAAAATTAGTTAAATTCAAGAATGCTTTCAGAAAACATCTCTTCGCTAAACCCCAGATGTTTAAGACAATGAATGGCAATTATGTTTCCTCTACATTCGGAATATTTTTTACTTTACCAGTAAATCATAACAGATATATCTAGGGATATTTGATTCCTTGTCACTCTGATTATGAATTGATACTATTAAACAGAACAAAAGTAGCCTTCATTTTATTTGCATAGATTGCCAAAGGTCACTTGCTACACTGCTGCCTTGATGGATGGGTAATGCAAGACGGGTTACTGCTGTTGCACTTTAGGCAGAATTCATACACCCGCTAACTATTGACAGCAAAGGCTGAAATAAGAGTCTACTAACAGTCCACACAGCCATAGAGATTCTATCGCCGATGCACTGTATATTGTTGAAGCCTGCCAGCAAGGCCGGAACTACTTTCAGATGCAAATGATCTGCGCCCTCATAAATAAGCCATTAGTCATTCAGCAGGCACACACGTACATGTACATACACAGGCTGCTGGGCACAATGGCGCTGCATAATGTGAACTGAGTGCATTGCATGCATGTAGTGCACCTCCTGGGAAAGGAAGGCATATATGCACTGTGTATGCATACAGGCAAAAAACAGCCTTTTAATTGGACCTTAAGGGACGAGCTGAAAAAGCCCATCTCTATGTTTTTGTAACCTCTAGCTCTTCAGATCCTGTAAATTTGAATGGCTCATAACCTTCAGTTTTCAAGTGAAACAAATGGCAAAATATTGGACTCTATTTTCCTATTTTTCAAAAGGGGTATTCTGTGGTACCTTGGTAGTTCTAGATTGTAATCCACTGCTAGACT